GAACACAATGTCATAGTGGCAATACTTTACACTGGTCTAGAACACAATGTCATAGTGGCAATACTTTACACTGGTCTAGAACACAATGTCAAAGTATGAATACTTTACACTGGTCTAGAACACAATGTCAAAGTATCAATACTTTACACTGGTCTATAACACAATGTCAAAGTGGCACTACTTTACACTGGTCTATAACACAATGTCAAAGTGGCACTACATTACACTGGTCTATAACACAATGTCAAAGTGGCACTACATTACACTGGTCTATAACACAATGTCAAAGTGGCACTACATTACACTGGTCTATAACACAATGTGATATTCTAATATCATAAATCATAGCTTTAGATTAGACGTATTTTTCAACTGTATCTGTTGGTCTTCCACAAACAAGTCCATATGGATTGCTTCCTCCGTTGCTGTCAATCTAGTTAGTATCTGTCTTCTCATTGGTCCGTTAAGCCATAGTGACGACTAAACTGAGCTTGTGAGGTCAGTCTAGCACGTTCTTGGAAGAGCCGTGCCAGAGTTCAATTTGTGGTTATTTTTAAAAGTTTGTTTTTTTATTCATCAGATCCTACATCGTGTTAATTTTCTTCTGTGTTCCCTTTAAATCATTTGTCCAACTAATGAATACTTTGTACTGAGTGAATCAGTAATTTCAGTTAAAAACCGTTGTAAAATCAAATCCCTGAATCCTCTATTTGGCGGAAGTAAATTTATCTGTGGTATATAACGATAATCCTAAAACGACCACATTATTTCAGTACTATGGTTTCCTTTCGGCCCAACAACATGTGGTGGTTGTACTTTCAGGTACTAAATCACACGTCTACATTATTTCAGTGTTAAGACTATAAACTCTAAGCCTAAACAACGTGTGACGAACGGTTAATAATGATACCGCATAACATAAAAGAAAGATTACACTTAACGTTTACTATCTGTTTGTAGTTACTAGCTTAGGATATCCCTTAAGGAAGTGAAAATTCTATAAAGGACAGTGTTTTCTTCATAACGGACTTCGTTAGATGCTAATTATATACCCTGTTTTATGGATGGTAAAAATTGACTCATTTAACTGATTAAATACCAGTGTCTTTAAATTCAAGAACAAAAAATATATAAAGAATTTGAAACGTGTCATATTTTAGATAAAAATACTAAAACAAAATAGTCCGTGTAAATCATTGGACAATTTCCAATTACTAAACCAAAAATTACGGTAATCTAGCCAACCGACTCTGGATGATAACACACAACAGATCATCTTAATTGTAAGGTTAATGCACAAGTTTGTTGGTTTTTTTAATAATACCAAGACTAAAGAATTCACAGATATCTGTATTATCTAAAAGGAAACGTAAAACATCCAAAGCGTTACGATGAAACAAATGTTTTACAACAGTAAAGTATCAAATGTTTTTGAAAACTGTTGGAATATGTTTACTTTCTGTTGGTAAAAATGTGAACTAAACACCAGTTATTTAACAAAAAATATGTCTCTGTAGAAGAATGATTACAAAGATACTTACGGTGGTAATGTTCCTAGAATCTGACCTTCATATTTCTTCACCATCTCCAAACCGTAGATATCAAACATTTTGTAAGGATTCACGGCTACCAGGATACTGCCCGTGTAAGTCTAAGAAAGCAGCAACCAGTTATAGTTAACATTACCATAGTGTACGTTTCACAATCGTTATCACCACCAGTTAGTTACCATTACTGTACGTTTCACAATCGTTATCACCACCAGTTATAGTTACCATAGTGTCCGTTTCACAATCGTTATCACCACCAGTTATAGTTACCATTACCTACTGTACGTTTCACAATCGTTATCACCACCAGTTAGTTACCATTACCGTACGTTTCACAATCGTTATCACCACCAGTTATAGTTACCATTACCATACTGTACGTTTCACAATCGTTATCACCACCAGTTAGTTACCATTACCCTAGTGTACGCTTCACTATCAGTATTGTTACATATGCAACATTTTTGAAACAACTCTATCTACAAACCGTTATCATTACGGTTTAAATGACTAGCTACGTTCCATATTGTTTGTTGTTGTTTTTTAGTGGTCGACTACATTATCTGAAATGATGATGTGCGAGTCTCTGTTCCATAGTTTTTATTTACGTGCTCAACCACACTATCTGAAGACTCAGTCCACGTACTCGGATACGGTATAGAACTAATGATGCCCGGGTTTAATGATCGTGTTTCAGACAGATAAGTCTAGGGTATCTATACATGTCCTAAAATTTCACAAACTATGTTTCATTAAATCTACGCCGTCCAATGTAACAACATTAATCACGACTTGAAGAACAAGCCAGGCCTAAAGGAAGAACGTGACATAGCGTTGTGAAGTTCGTCGCACTCAAATTATAGCTGACGTCATTTCCGAACCACATCGTATACCTACTTGTGGATTACGTACAAACTGTAAGAGAAAGTACTAGCTGACTAAAGATGTGCCGATCTAGTCGTGAATGTCTCGATAATAGTCAGACGCGCATGATACATCATACCAATATCGCTTAACACAGAGACAGACAACATACATCACACCGATATCGCTTAACACAGAGGCAGACAACATACATCACACCAATATCGCTTAACACAGAGGCAGACAACATACATCACACCAATATCGCTTAACACAGAGAC